TCAGGTATTTTGGTAGATAAATAGCTTTAGTTTTGAGAAGTTTTTAGTTTTATCTTCCTCTTGAAGATGATCACTTGGTGATCGAAACACGTGTCGAGGTGTAAAAATAACAATTTGGTGTTGGGAAAAAACTCCAGTAATATTCATACAATATACATGTAATGAAATGGAGAAATTCCGGAAAAAATTATTGGTTTGGTTTACAGCAGTCGTGTCGGATGGGGTGCCTCACCCTGTATAAAGTAGTGAATATGTAGATTTTAGTGATATTTTTGAGGCTTTCGATCGTGTCCAAATGTATTTAATCTCCAGCGATTCAAATCCAATGTGAATCGCTACTTTCGCACAGGCACCGCTCTGAGGGTGTCTTAAGGATTTTTCTGTAGTGCTTGTGTTTTGTCCTTAATGTTAGTTTACTAAAAATTTCACATTGAAGTGTTTTTTGAATACGTTATGGATTTCTATCACTGCAAAAAATCACATTGAATTTTATTTACTGAATGGAATTTTAAGAAAATATACAGGATGTTGAGTATGTACCGTAAATTCAACAGACGATTCTTTAGGTAATTTTAAGACGAAATGTTCATATAAACATGGGTCCGCAAATCGTTCGTTCTCAAGATACAGGGTGTTAAAATAAAAATAAAAAAAAAGTTATTCGTAAATATCTCAAATATCCTTCACCTGGTTTTGTTGTAATTTGGCAATGGTATTTATTACATTAAGGAGCTAATTACTAATCATGTAACAATAACAACAAATATTAAATAACATTAACATCTAGACTAACGAATTGCACCAAATTACGTGTTGGAAATGGCCTCCTTCGGCTTCAATACAACCGTCTAGCCGCCGCATCATTGAATTTCGCACTCTTCTGAAAATACCTGGCGTATTTGTTATTATGTCACATGAATTAATGATTTCATTCCGTAAATCCTCTTCACTTTGAATAGCAGTTTTGTGTACCAACGCTTTAACGTGTCCATAGAGAAAATAATCTGAGGGATTCATTTCGGGCGAGCGAGGTGGCCATGGGTGTGGGCCTGCTCTCCGAATCCAGCGATTATGGTAATTTTCATCCAAAAATTGCCGTGTCACTACACTACAGTGTGGTGGAGCACCATCGTGCATGTACCTCATACGGAATCCTTCCATGACTGGAATTTCTTTCAAAAGTCCAGGTAAAACAAATTATAAAAACCTTCGGTATTCTTCTCCATTAAGTCTAGGTGGAAGGAAGTGAGGCCCAATGAGATGGTCACCGACAATTCCAACCCGAATATTAAAAGAAAACTGTTCTTGAAAATTATTTTCTATCAAGGCGTGTGGATTGTTTTCGGCCCAAATGTGATTGTTGTGGAAGTTAATAATTGAATTGCGAGAAAAACAAGCTTCATCTGTAAACAATATTCGACTTAGGAAACCTGGATTTCTTCTTATTTCACCGCGTAACCAATTAGAAAAAGCTAGTCTTCCAGGCAAATCTCTGGGCAATAGAGCTTGAACACGTTGCATGTGATAGGGATATAGCTGCTGGGCTCTTGAAATCTGCCACACTGTGACATGGGTAATCTTTAGTTCTTCAGCTATTTTCCGAGCACTGGTATGAGGATTTACTTCAATATCATTTAAAACAGCTTCTTCAATTTGAACTGTTCGTACCGTTGCAGGCCTCCAAATGACAACCGTCGATCTCTTAAAGCTGCCTCTTTCAGAAAGTCGTGCATGGAGACGTTAAAAAGTTCTTCTATTAGGCACTACACGTTGAGGAAATCTTCCTTAGTAAATGCTTTTGCAGCATTAGAGTTTTTGTGAGTCATTCCATAACAGAAATGCATATCTGCAATTTCATTGTTAGTAAATTGAACCATGTTTTACAAAAATGGTTCGAAAAATAACCACTGAACACACTTTTTGTAACAATTATAAATTGTCAAGATGTTATTGTTATTTAATATTTGTTGTTATTGTTACATAATCAGTAATGAAAAATTGTAAAAATAATAATTTCCCCACATTATTCCTTGCATATCCAGGGATATGCAATTGGGCCAACTTTTTTTTCTTAAAAACTAAGCAAGATACGAAAAAAATTCAAGAGACAAAAAAGTTGTAAATGTTCATACTCAGCAGTTCAAAAATAGAAATGATACAGATGAGGTAACTCACTTGAAGGTGACACCAAATATATCTTTATAACTACGGTCGTAATCAGTTGAGTGGTAGAGTGGAGCAGGATGTGGCAAATGTGAAGGAATAACGTATATTTCGTTGTTATCGTTGATAATGAAATTTAATCAATTATCAATAAATACAAGTTGAATTGGATTGAGTAGTCAATCATATGAAAGCATTTTTGCTAATTACACAGGGTGTTTATTAAACATGCGGCAAAATATTGAGGGACTATTCCTTGGACTATTCTTTGATCACTGATTGGTATGTCAAACCTACTAATTCGGGAAGATATATCAATTACTATTCTTTTCATAAAAAATCAGTTTTCCTATCCCAGAAAACTTCTCAATAAAATAATTTTCAATACTGGCAGTAATACAAATTCCGATGTAATCAACAGAAATTTATGTAATAATAGTTCACCTATCAATTTTTCTTATAAATCTGTACCTAATCTTGGAAATTTATCTTCAAATATCATAAAACTTTTTCATAATGAACAAGATATCAAAATATGCCAAAAAATATTAAAACTATAAAGAATTTGGATACCAAATTGAAAGATAAAACGGATACTCCGAAAAAGTCAAATGTGATTTATAACATTCCTTGTAACAATTGTAAATTGGATTATATTGGAACAACATCTAGAATTCTTAAAGATAGAATAACTTCACATAAAAGTGATATAAAGCTTAATAAGAAATCATGTGCATTATGGCAACATTCCATAGAAACAGGACATAAATCAAATTATTCTAATATCAAAGTTTTACATACAGAAAAAAATATTTCCAAACGCCTTTTCCTTGAAGTGGTTGTTGAAATTAATAAATCTTCTGATTGTATGAATAAGAGAACTGACATTGATAATCTCAGCAGTATATACAGTAACTTATTGGAACTACACCAAAAAACATAATGATAATAATGAAAATTGTTAACAATAATAGGAAACAATTCCTCAGCCATGATTCAGAATCAATACTAGACAGCGCTGTTTCAATTTGCAACGAATTTCATTAGTAGTATTAGGCCGGATCATAGATGCAACTTTCAACTAGGGCATTGCCAAGAAAGAAAGCTACCTTCAGAATCGATAGAAAACTCAACCCACAAATATGTGTATTGGATCATGAAAACCTTTCAGCTCTGTTATCATCAAGTTACTTGCTTACAGTGAGAGATAGAAAGCGATTTATGATCTCATTGATAGCGTCAACGTGACACCTGGATGGCAAGAAGATATATTGACCTCTGGTA